AGATGAATAGGGCCCAGCACCCAGCAGCTGGAGTCATAATGCTTTCCTGATCCCAGTTACTAGGGTCACCAAAAGCCATTGATAAGTTTGATTGATTCATCATAAGTCAGCAATACTTTGTTTGAGTTTGGTCAATGTATTTCCCATTGCAGAGAAAGCAGTTATCAAATAGAACTAAAACTACAAGCAGAGTTTCTAAGAGCCCTGGAATAGGTGCTCATTCCCTGGGTCTGTTCCCAGCTCCATTTTTAACTCCTGGGGTCCCAGAGCCCAGTGGCAGAGGGCACAGCTTGAGCAAAGATACTAAGGCAGGCTGCACTGGGCCTGGGCTGCAAGGAATCAGGTGAGGAAGGAGGGCCTGATCCTATCCTCATTTCAAGGAGAGAACTCAGGTCTCATGAATGGGATGGCTTAGTAGGAGATGGGAAACAGGTGCTGGCTGGGAAGAAGATGGGAGACGGGAAAAAGGGCTGCTGTAAAGGACTAGGTAAGAAGTGGTTGAAGGGCTTGTAGAGGGACCTGGGGGAAAGAGGAGGGTCCGTTAGCTAGGCTTCCTGGGTTGGAGTCCTAGATCCCTGTTCTGGTTCCCTAGTGCCGCTCTGACAAGACTATACCACAAATGGGATGGCCTTAACAGGAGTTTATTCTCTTACAGTTTGGAGGTTTTAAGTCCAAGTTCAAAGTGCCAGGCTCTAGGGGCTGGGTGAAAGCCCCTCAACCTTGGGGTCCAGCTCTGCCTCCTGCTCCCAGACCACTGGAGCTAGAGGTGTTTCTTCACTCAGACAGCTGCTGGCTGCTGGTGTTGACAAGCTCAAGGTTGACAAGTAAAAAGGCATAGTCCTGTTGTTACCAAACCACATGGCAGGCCATTAATTTAAGTCCATTATAAGTCCCAAGGTCAGCAGAGCATGGCAGGCTATTGAACAACTTCATGGCTACATGCAGGGTCCAAGTGTACCATAAGCTAGAGACTATCCCCAAAGTTTCTCCTTATATACCGGAAGCCGACCACATCCCAAAAGCAGCTACTCAGCTGCTTGTGATAGATCCCATCAAGGAGTTAATTGCCAGTCTCATCATGGGGAATGACTACCACCAGATGCCCAGCCACTCAACCAGGCCCAGCCAAGTTGACACACAAACTGAACTACCACAATCCCCCATTTACTATCTATAGCATCAGGTAGATTACTTAACCTCTCCAAGCCTCAGTTTCCCCTTTTGGAAAGGAAATAACCTATCTCATAAGGTTGTTGAATGAGTTACATGTAATGTAAATATTAGCTATTATTATGCAAGACATTTAGGGGATAGAATAGACAGAAGTCATGACTATCTAGAGTAGGAGAAAAGAGGATTTTGAGGTGCTTATGAACTGTGGGGTTCCTTATCCTTTCTGGGGAGAAATGGGCAGTGCTTCCCTCTTGGCTCACATCCTCATCTTCAGGGTCAAAAGAAGGACCTGTGACCTTAGCTCACTGTTCCTCCGTGCTGCCCGCTGCCAGACTGGATAGAGGGCTAGCCTGGGCATGCTGCCAGGGGCCTGGGCTATCTCTGGCCCCCTTCACTTCCTGGGCATCCACCACCAAGCATCTCATTCTCAGAGGAGTTTGTGGTGTCATATGACATCAGGCGTTCTCTTTTATTCCCGCATGTTCTCCTCCTGTCCCCTCCCTGCCCCTGGGAGGCCATGCAGACATTTACCACTGCCCTTTCACTCCCAGGATTCAGGCAGCAAGTATACTTTCAACCAGTAGTGTCACTAGGGTTGGAGTCACCCAGTGCAGTAACTCATCCTGTTACCCCACATCCCATGGACCTACTACCTCCTGTCATACCAGACCATACAGAATCATTAGTAATGTTTACTATCAATTTTAATCATAGAATAATAGACAATAAATGTAGTTGTAAATTGCTTAAGTGTAATATTTTTTAGACTATATGAATACTAACAAAAATTATTTTGTAAATTAAAATTCTACATTGAATTATAATATTATTAGTAACTGAGTGGAAGTGGTTTTTTTTTAGTTTCAATTTTTTCCCTTTTCCTTTAACTACTATTTCATTTTCAAAAAAGTTATTGATACAGGTTCACAAATACTGATTACTACAATATTGTAGCTAAAACACCTGAAAATTTGACAAAGTTAGACTTTAAAAACACAGGCAGTTGAACTAACACAGACTGAGGTAGAACATTTGAAAAAACTACAGACCAATATCCCTTAAGAATATAGACAGAAAAACCTTCAACAAAATCCTAGCCAATAGACTCCAACAACATATTGAAAAAATAATACATCATGACCAAGTGGGATTCATACCAGGTATGCAAGGATGGTTCAACATTAGAAAAACAATCAACATAATCCATCACATAAGTAAAATAAAGGAAAAGAATCATATGATCATATCAATAGATACAGATAAGGCACTTGATAAAATCCAACACCCATCCTGATAAAAACTCTCAGAAAAATAGGAGTAGAAAGGACATTTCTTGACATAATGAAGGGCATCTATGCAAAACCAACAGCCAACATTATTCTCAATGGAGAGAGACTGAAACCATTCCCCTTGCAGACAGGAACCAGACAAGGATACCCACTATCTCCACTTCTATTCAACATTGTATTGGAAATCCTAGCCAGGGGAATAAGGCAAGAAAGGGAAATCAAAAGCATCCAAATTGGTAAGGAAGAAGTCAAACTATGCCTATTTGCTGATGATATGAGCCTATACATAGAAAATCCAAGAGACTCAGCAAGAAAACTATTGGAACTTATTGAAAGATTTAGCATAGTGGCAGGATACAAGATCAACATTGAAAAATCAGTTAGATTCCTCTATACCAGAAAAGAGGTCTCTGAAAAGGAAATAAGGAAATCAATACCGTTTACAATAGCTACAGAAAGATAAGGCACTTGGGAATAAATATTACCAGGAACACAAAAGACCTATACAAAGAAAACTATAAAATGCTATTTCAAGAAACTATAAGAATCTACATAAATGGAAGAACATACCGTGCTCTTTGATACGAAGATTGAACACTGTGAAAATGTTAATACTACCCAAAGCAATCTATGTCCCAATCCAGAGTCCATCAACATTCTTTAAGGATATGGAAAAACCAATTACTAATTTTACATGGGAAGGCATGAGACTTTGGATAAGCAAAGCACTATTGAAGAAGAAGAACAAAGTAGGTCTCACACTCCCAGATCTCAAAATCTACTGTACAGACATAGTTGTCAAAACAGCTTGGTATTGGTACAATGATAGACACATAGACCAGTGGAACAGAATTGAGAACACAGAAATAGATCCATTGACCTGTGGTCAGCTGATCTTTGACAAAGGATCAAAATCCATTAAAAGGAGTAAAAGATAGTCTCTTTCACAAATATCTTCACCAAAGAAGATATTCAAGCAGCCAACAAACACATGAAGAATGTTTGTGATCATTAGCCACTAGAAAGATACAATCTAAACTATACCCACCAGCCACTCCCCGGAAGGAAGGTTGGGCAATCCTACTTCCGTAGTGATACTGCCTCGGAAACCCAAGGAGGGGTCGCTATGAGTCAGGGCTGACTCGAAGGCACATAACAACAACAACAACAACAAACAACTATGAGATACCATCTTGCCCCAGCATTAATAGCAAAGTTCAACAAGACAGAAAATAACAAATGCTAGTGAAGATGTAGAGATATTTGGACTCTTGTATAGTGCAGGTGGGACTGTAAAATGATACAAACACTGTGGACATTGGTATGGTGATTTCTTAAAAAGTTGTTAACAGAAATACCATTTGATCCAGCAATCCCATTACTAGGTATATATCCTAATGAAGTGAGAGGCAGGACACAAATAGATATATGCACACCCACGTTCATTGCAGCACTATTCACAATAGCCAAGAGATGTAAACAACCTAAGTGTCCATCAACCAAGCAATGGATAAACAAACTGTGATACATACACACAATGGAATATTATGCAACCCTAAAGAATAATGTAGAATCTGCAAAACGCCTCATAACATGGGTGAGCTTGGAGGACATTATGCTGAGTGAAATAAGTCAGTCACAGAAGGACAAATATTTTATTAGTCCACTATTGTAAAAAGTCCAGAAAAGCTTTATACATGGTTTGGTTACCAGGGATGGGGTGGGGTGGGGGTGGGGGAATTTCTAGATAGGTTGAAAAAAAAAATATATATATATATATAAACAAACCAAACTCACTGCTGTCCAGTCAGATCTGACTCATAGCAACCCCTCCTTAGGTTTCTGAGGTAGTATCTCTGTGGAAGTAGATTGCCCAATCTTCTTTCTGAGGAGTGGCTGTTGGGTGTGAACCATCAGCCTTCTGGTTAGCAGTCAAGTGCCTTAGGCACTACGCCAGCAGAGCCTATAATTTAATCCCCACGACCACCTTATGAAGTGAGTGTTGTCATCCCATTTCACAGATGGGGAAACAGGCTCAGTTGCCCAATGCGGCTCAGTGAGCTAACAGCAGGACCAGGTTTCCCACCTCTGCCTGGCCTATGCCAGAGCCCATCTCATCACGCCCACACTATTATGCTTGGCTAAGAGGTGTGGGGTAACAAAATGCACCTTGAACCAGGCGCATGTCAGGAGGCCCAGGTTCCAGCCTTGCTTCCAGGGCACATTTGCTGTGTGACCCTTTCTGAGCTTCTGTTACTTCATTGGTGAGAAGAGGCAGGCCTTCTTTGGTTCATAATAATTCTTTGTGATGAGGCCCACGGGAACTTATACTTATTCAGTGCAAAGAGCCCACTGCTGGGAGCCTGGGCCCGTCCCAGGGCCCCTCAGGTCTTCTCTCTCCCAGCTGCTCCCCTGGCAGCAGCTCCTGAGGCTGAAGCCTGCAGCCTGAGCCGACCACACACTTTACTGTTGGCCAAATAGTCCCATCCAGCACGCTTGGACTTGCCCCCAGCTCCCCGCCCAAGGCTCCTCTCTCACCTGAAGATGTCGACCCGAGACTCGGTGGCCAGCACGCACACAGCATGGGTGGGCTGCTCCGGGACCACACAGATCACTGCCCCTTGGGCCATCATCTGGCCAGCTGGTCCCTCAGTCAGCTGCAGGAAGCCCTGGGGCTGGTTCCTTTATACCACCCAGCAGAGGCCATGAGTCAGCACCTGTGGTGGAGGCCCAGCGTCTCAGCCCCTCCCTTCTCAGGTCCTGGGCAGGGCCTCTCAGTTCTTTTCTGCCTTGGAGCTGCCTCTCATATGGCTTGGGGTTCAATGCCAGGATTGGGCACAGCTAGCTCTCTCAGTGGGGAAGGGCTGAGGGCTCTGAGGGTCTCACTCCCAGATAAGGAATCCCTCACCTGGGTGCAGGTCTGAGCTCTCATGTCCACAGCCCCACGGCAGCTGGGGGTTCCTGACCATCTAGATCCATTCAACCTTACCTCACTGCACCAAACGAGGGCATCAGAGAAGAAAAGGCAATACAAGCAGGGAGGTTGGGAGATTTTAGGCAAGAGGTCACAGCCCAGGCTACACATTCAAAGATCAGCCAGGCTTGGAACAAGTCTCCACAGGCTGGATCTCCCACATGACAGCTTCCTCTTCTTGAGTGTGTCCATGTGCCATTTTGCCTGTAATAACTCAGTACAACAAGCTTATGAAGTAGGCACTCTTGCTGTCCCCCCATTTCATCCTCACAGTAAATTTCTGAGGTCAGTACCATTATAATTACCAAATTACAGAGGAAGAAACTGAGGAACAGAGAGATTGCACAGCTAGAAAGCACTGGCAAAAGGATTTGAACCAAAGACGCCTAGCTCTCAAAAACAAAACCAAACAAATAAACCAAGGCCACTGCCATCGAGTCAATTCCAGCTCATAGTGACCCCCATTGGGTTTCTAAGGTGGTAAATCTTTACAGAAGTAGATTGCCCTGTCTTCCTTCCATGGAGTGGCTGGTAGGTTAGAACCACCAATCTTCTGGTTAGCAGTCAAATGCCTTAGGCACTGTGCCACCAGGCCCTAGAGTATAAGATATTTTAGCTCCTGTCTATGTCATGTGTGCTTTTTAGACCTTAGCATATCTATTCCTCACTATAGCACAAGGTATGTATGTATGTATATATTGTTGTTGTTGTTGTTATGTGCTATTGAGTCAGACCTGACTCATAGCAACCCCTCCTTGGGTTTCTGAGATGGTATCACTATGGGAGTAGATTGCCCAACCTTCCTTCTGAGGAGTGGCTGGTGGGTTTGAACTGCCAGCCTTCTGGTTAGCAGTCGAGAGCCTTAGGCACTATGCTATCAGAGCTCATATGTATGTATTATTAATACCCATTTCACAGAAGGGACAGTTGAGGCTCAGAGAGGAAAAGTGCTTACCCAAGACTTCATAGCTAGTGTGTGGCAGAGCTGGCCTGGAAGCCAGGGCTCTGCACACTCCAGGATGCCTGCCTCCTGCTGGGGTCTCTGGGTGTCAGGCTAGAGAAAGCAGAGGGGACCACACATGCTACAGGGACACTCACTCAGCCGTAGAGCTATGGTTGCACCTGGACTCGTGGTGCCAGGCTCTGTCTGCCAATGGGGTGAGGAGGGCTGGATAGGCCCTGACAGGAGCACCCAGAGTGGGTGTCAGGAATCTGGAAGGACCATACAGCATTGTGTGCATTGGAGGTGTTGTGTATTATCCACCTTGGTTTTCAAGCAGAGTTTGCATTAGTAAATAAGAGTTTGATTTTGGGAATGGGAAGGCCTGAATTCAAATTCTGCTTCATGCCAATGTGCCTGGAAGGAGGGTCCTATCATGATGCCTGCTTTATAAATGAATCATGAAGATGGTTGAGAAATGCATCGTGAGAGGCTAACTCAGTCTCTCAAGGTCCCACAACCCATAGAGTGGGGGTCCAGGATCCAAACCTCCTTCTCTAGGCCCAAAGCCCATTTTCTTTATCAGGAGATGATGCACCCAGACCTGGTGCTCTGATGCACCTACACAACTACTTGCATACAGTACTTCTTAATAAAGGAAATGTCTTTGGTTGGTCATGTAGTTCAAACTAGTTTGAGCTTCTAATGGAAGGTGGCAAGAGGGAGCCATCAATTGTCAGAGTTGAGAGGCCCTCAGGAAATAGCAAATCCAGTCCTCATTCTGTAGATGGGGAGACCAAAGTACAGAGAGGGGTTGTGACCTTCCCATGATCACACAGCAAGTCAGTGGGAGGGCTGAAACTCTACCAAGGCTTAGGTTTCCTGGGTAGTTTATTTTTCCCCTTTTCCCCCATCACTGTTTGGGATTTAAATTTGCTGTGCATAAGCCACAAAGAGGACAAACCAAAAGCAATTTTATTAATCCAACAAATATTTACTGAGTACCTACTACTTGAGCAGAAGGGGAGCATGATCTGGCTTCTTGAACACACTACTCTGCCTGCTACATGAGAATAGACTCCAGGGGCAAAAGAGGAAGCAAGGAGACCAGGGATGGGGACGTTATTGGTAGGTGAGAAATGATGGGGGCTCAGGTCAGGGTGGTGGTCAGATTCAGGACCTACCATGAAGGTACAGCCAATAGAATTTGCAGAAGAGTTGGGTATAGGTGAAATGAAAAGAGAGAAGCCAGGGTGACTCCAAAGTTTGGGACCTGAGCTCCTGGAAGGATGGAGCTGCCATGAACGGAGCTGAGGGAGGCTGGGGAAGAGCAGGTTGCAGGCAGTGGGGAGATCAGGAGGTTGATCCTGGCCATACCAAGTGTGAGATGTCCATTAGAGTCTGTATGGAGACATCCTTAGGGAGATTGGACACAGGGTTCTGGAGCTCAAGAGAGAGGACCAGGCTGGAAACTAAATGTGTGAGATTTCAGCTTTGAGAACTCACCTAGGGATGAGTGTGGCTGGAGAAGAGAGAAGGCCAAGGAATGAACCACTCCAACAGAACAGAAAAGGAATGAGTACTTCATCAGAGAAGGAGTGGCAGAGAGGGAACCCAGAGAGCAAGGTCTTGTTATTTGCTATTCTATGGTGTGTGTGTGTGTGTGTGTGTGTGTGTGTGAGAGAGAGAGAGAGAGAGAGAGAGAGAATGCAAACCAAGTTTATAAACATTCCTTTATAACATGGGGAAGCCTCCCTCCATCCTCTACATGCACACACACATATGCACACACACTCACACACACATCCATACACACAGAGAGAGTCTTGAGGAGAGCAGCTGTATTTCTGAAGCAGAACCTCTTTGCAGAATTGCACTCAGTCATGCAGGGCATCGCAGGGGCAATAGACTCTGGGATAGGCAGACATGAGGGTGGGAGTTGAAGTCAGTGGAGTAAGAGGCAGATGGACTTGGGAGAGGAGTGTGGGGTACCACCACTCCAGCATCTCTGATGACTGGACCATTACATAGCTGCTCCCTATTGTTGGACATGGAGGCTGTTTGCAAATTTTCAGCATCATAAGTAATGCTGCAATGCATTAATAAACTGTGCCCATGCCTGTGGCTCTTTGCAGGGACTTTGTGGATTTCTCTTTGCATGATCTGGTTGCTGCTGATGCCTCCATCCTCACCTGGGACCTCTCTCCCCTAACCCCCTTGCTCCAGACCACCAGGTCTTCGTTCAGGTCCTAGAAGAGCTAAGGAACTTCTGGTCTCAGGATCTCTCTGGAGGGCTCCCCTTCCTGGAATTGTCTCCCCATTATGACCCCATCCTGCCCTGGGTGACACTTTGATAGTAGGAATGGTGCTTAAGAGCAAACACTTTGCAGCCAGACCTGGGTTCAAACCTTGGCTCTACACCTTCCAGTTGTGTGAACCTGGATTAGTTACTTCAGCTCCTTGTACTGCAGTTTCCTCATTTGTAATATAAGGATGATCACAATACTTACTTCATAGGATTGTTGTGAGGATTATATGAGATAATGTGTGTAAAGCTTCCTGAACAGCACCTGGTGCTGAGTGATTCGCTTCTCGCTTCCTCCAGGAGGATATGTCTGAGTCCTCCTTCTAAAAGCTGCCCCTCCTATTTTCTCACAGAGCATTTAGGGTTTTGTCCTCAAAATTTGCCACAGTTTGTCACTGTGTGTGTGTATAGAAGTCTGTTTCCTAGTAGTCTGGATTCTCCACGAGAGCAGGGACTTTGTCAGTCTTGGTTGCTTCCCAAGGTTGGAACAGTGACTGGTGCCTAGTAGGTGCTCTGTAAACACTTGTGTGTGAATATTGTGGCTGCTTGCAGCTCAGCTCAGTACTTGACCCATGGGTGAGGCCTCTGAGGACAGTCTCCCGAAAGAATCCCAGCAGCTATCCTTGCAGAAGGCATTAACCCTCTGGTAGCTTCAAGGGACCCTTGCAACTGGGAACCCTCTCCTGTCCATGTGGGCAATTGGCTCAAAACCTGGGTCAGAACTGGGAGGAAGGAGCCCTTCTTCCTGTCAAAATGCAAAACCACCAGCCCAGACACACGCAGAGGAAGTATAAGTGTTCTGAGGGCTGACCCATGCCCTCTAGGCATTTAGGGCCAGGCCACTGGGCATTTGAGCTAATATCTAGGCACTGGTTGTCCTACTCTGGGTGACTGTGATGATGTCATTCTGGGGAAAGGCACTGGGGTCAGAGAACCCTCCCAGAGACCCTGAGATTGAGGGTAGTGCAGTTGTATTGAGAGTAGGCAGCCCAGCCTTCTTCCAGCAAGGCAATAAATCTATTTATTTAGCTGTTTA